CTTTGTGGGCTTTTTCAATTTTAACTTTACCAAAACCTTCTTGACCGACGCAAAACGGAATCTCGGTTGCTTTTGAGTTTCCTCCTTGTCAATCTGACCATAGCCTCTCACAATCCTACCAAAAACGTTGCTAATCTTTCCGTCTTTGATTGTTCTCTTTTGAATCTGGTGGTCCAACTTCACGCGTCTTCCGAACCTCACTATTGATAGGCTTTGACCAACTTAAAGGGAAGTATTAGTTCACCCATCCACCTTATTCCGTTTATTACTCTTATTTTCCAAACTTATATTTCCATGTGATATTTATATTATATTGCTAGTTTTTAAGTTTTAGTAGTCTTAACTTTTAATCACCCCCTTTAGAATATACGACAGCCCCCTTAAAATAAAGAAATACACACACACACAGAAAAACTGCAAAACGTGCATTCTACAGTGGAGGTGTATTCCATAGTTAGGAACTATTTTGTTACTCAAAGGTAAGACCTGTTATGGCTTTAGAAAGGTCTTGAATGCATTCATCGTCATTCATATGACAACATATTCACAAACTATAAACTTCTCTAATACAATCCTCTTTATTTCATTGTTCTATTCCAAACAGAAGCATTAATTTTTCTCAGGCAGGGAATAAGTCAAGGATATTAAGTGGGTTTCTTCACTTAGCCTTTTCCCTCTCCACAGCCTCATCAATCTGCTCCTGTGTATATCCACCAGACTCCAAAAATTCAATGCCAAGACTATACTCGTCACGCTCCCCCCCACGGTGTAAATCTAAAGTTTTTGTCCAATATAGGGTCATGGAAAACGAGAACACTTGAATTCTAACACATGTGATCAACCATCAGGTCAAAATCCTGTTCTTCTTCTTCTGTATCGAAATGATATGGACCTCGGTCTCTTTTGCTTTCCGCAGACCCAGAGACCATGAGTGACAAGAGAATAATGGAAAACTTCATATTAAGTTAGTGATGATTGAGTGTTACAAGCATCTTTTTCTAGTCAGTTAGTCAGTCAGTCAGTCAAAACTACAGAACTCATATAATGTCTTCACCAACCCTCGGCCACGGTGTTCCTTCAATCTCGTATGAGAAAGGTGGTCAATGTTTTTTTACAACTGTTTTTTGTGGTATGCCGACTAGCAAAATTTTTTTATGATCCAACATTCTTTTGGACCCTCCTTAATTCTTTTTATTTATTCTTGTTGAATTAATCATGTCGTTTTAGTATGGATAAGATACAAACACACATTGTAAATCCAAAAAAAAGCAAAAAGTGGTGAAAACCCCCCTTCACCACCACCCCCTAAAAGAAAAAGATAATGTTCACTTTGTCTTGTATTGTTTTAAAAAATCATAGCGTCTTTGTAAATCTTGTTTATTTAAACACCCCAATTCCGTCATTAATAAACGACTATTAATGGCATCTTGACGCAGTATCAATTTCAGATTCACCACCTTCATCAATTTCAGCCACTGTTTAGCTGTCCACCAGGTAGTATTGCTAGCACCAAGACTAAATACATCGTAATTATCCTCTTGTTCATTGTTTAGGTTATGACGACGATCATTGTGATGATGATTATTATTAAGGATTGATTCATAAAGGGAGTTTTTCGCAACTGCCGGAGTCGAATTTCCTAAAGTATCCTCATCATTTAACGGTGGTATTTCAATGTCTCGATTCGTGACGTTGTTGCTATTATTACTGTTGGTTGCAAGAGCAGGTAAACCAGGCTCTTGATTCATTAAAGAGGGTACTTGCATATCTTTTTGACTGGACCCGTTTTGCAAAACAATATGGACAAAATCTGGTTCTTCATCTTCATAATTATTGACTGGTTGCCTATTTCTTGTGTTTGTGTTTGTGTTTGTGATGTTCCGATTCACTGGCAGTAGTATATTACCTCCAGGCAGTCTCTTTGATGTTTTTTCGGATGGGGTTTTCTTTAATGACTCCAACGTTGTATTCACCCTGTCCAATATCGATTGTTTAACTTTGTCATTATTGCTGTTCAACCTCAGCACTGGTGTCCCTGTTACCAGCTCATTCTTCTTGTCCTTGTTCCTCTTTTCTATACTTGGTTTAGTCACTTTGAATGTAACAGGAGAATGGTCCACGGGGCTTAACTCCAACGATGGTGGTTTGCGTCTTGTAATTGGTGTTGGACTTTGATTTCTTTGACGTTCATTATTCTGAAGTGAGACTGATTTATCAAATTTCAAACTGGGGGGAGATCTAATAGTCAATCCAGAATCACCAGCATTACTACCATCGCCATTACCCCCCCTCTGACTTTCTCCTACTTGCTCTACCTCATTTATCTGGTTTGATTTGGTCCCATTGTTGTTAGCGCGAAACGATCTGTATACTCTATTTGTGGATTGGCGGCTCTGCCGTTTTAAATTTACGGGATTGAATCGGACTGGTGTCTCCAATTCAGTATCGTCAAACTCCTCTTGTTCTATCGGTCGTGAAAAATCAAACTTGTGGGTGGTGGTACTCATGGTGTGTTTTTGTTTGATGGTTGTTTTGGATGATTGTTTTGGCTTTCTGGAAAAGCGAAAAAAAAAGCAGTTTGTGGTTTTTTGGATTGTGGTTTGTTTCAGCTTCACGCACGTGACTCAAAGCCTACAGATGTAAATCATTATCACAACCACTAAAAAAACACCCTACAAAGCGTTAAGCGTGTTGCTGCTAATCGCTCTCACTTTGTTTAATCAATGGTTTAAAATCTATAAACTAAACGAAATTACACCTAAAAAAAACTCACTCAAGCCCCTCACCATGAATCCAATTTCATGGTTCCATTATCTTGGAGATTCAAATGCATCTTGAACGCATCTCTTAAGGAGTGTGGTTCATGCAAAGTCTTCTTCTTAGTACATTCGTAAACCGCTCTATCGAAATATTCTTGCAATTGGTCCTTGTAGTCTGGATGAGAACACTTGTCAATGATAACCTTAGCTCTTTCCTTTGGTGACAATCCTCTCAAATCAGCCAAACCTTGTTCAGTAACAACAACATCCAAATCATGTTCAGTTTGGTCGACATGAGGAGCCATTGGGACAATACATGAAACACCAGTAGGGTCGGTCTTTGTTGGTCTTGCCGATGGAGTGTGCATGATGGACAATTTGGCATTTCTCAAGAAATCAGCTGAACCACCCAAACCATTCAACATTCTTGAACCCATGACATTGGTGGAGTTTGCATGGGCATATATGTCAACTTCAACAGGAGTGTTCATGGCAATAACCCCCAATCTTCTAATGATTTCCGGTGAGTTCGATACAACTTGTGATCTAAGACACAACTTTTTGGAATAAGTGTCCCAATTCTCGTAAAACTTTTCAAATCCTTCTTCAGTTAACCTGATTGAAGTGGCTGTGGCGTAGTCCAATGAACCACTTTCAAAGAAATCTAGGAATGAATCTTGCAAAACCTCAGTCCATACCGTCAAGTTTTTGAAATTGGACGAAGCCAAGCCTTCAACAACAGCATTGGCAATGTTACCAATACCTGATTGTAAAGGATGCAAGTTTTCTGGTAATCTACCTTGTTTCACTTCGTGTTCTAAAAATTCGACTAAATGGTTAGCAATCGATTTCGATTGTTCATCACTAGCAGTGTTTGGTGGGACCTTGTCACCTGTGGTACTTTCAACAATAGCAACAACCTTACTAGGGTCAATTGGGATCGAATTTTGACCAATCTTGTAATCAGCTGACGTGTGAGGGTAAGGTGTTCTAAATGGTGGATTAACTGGCATATCTATATCGTGGATACCTTCAAACGATGGGGTTTTAGTATTGACTTCAATAATCACTTTATCGGAAACTGAAATCATTTCTGGCGAAGCACCAACTGCAGGACCAGGAACAATTGAACCATCTTCTTTAATAGCAGTGGCTTCAATAATGGTGATGTCCAAATTGTGACCATTTGGTTTATCTTTGGTGTAGAAACCATAAGTCAAGTCTTGAGGAAACATTGACAAGTGCTTGTCAAAGAATTGAGTTCTACCATCATTGATAGCAGCAGCAATTGGTTTTCCAACTTGATGCGGAGATCTCGATAAAAGCATATTGTTATTAGCCCATCTACCTTCTTCGGGACCAGCACTGGCACCAACGAATAAATGGAAACCCAATTTGTCCTTTAAGTTGTTTTGCTCGACATGATCAGCAAGGACAGTTGGAATAACTTTTGGTGCACCAACACCAGTGAAACCAGACCAACCGAGATATTGACCATTTTTGAAAAGATTGATGCATTCTTCACCTGTTCTTAATTTGTTGAGATATGGAGCATATCTAACTCTTTGTTTTAATATGGATGACATTGCTGTATAGATGTACTGTGGTTGTGTTGCTGTACTTTTTGGTTGTAAAAAAAAAGTAGATAGTGAGATGAGATTAAAATATGTATGTGTGTGTTATATGCAAAGTTGATGAGTCTAGTCTATGAGTCTAGTCTATGAGTCTATTTTTCTCTCTATAGTGGCTCCAAGTGAGGTGGTTAATGATTGATGGCAAATTGAGTGAAATATAAAACGGATAATAACTTGCCAAGTGGGTGGTTGTCGTTTAGTCTGTGAATTTTTGTTGTGTTGTTGTGTTGTGTTGTCGTATAAAATTGAGGAGTAATTTCTGTTGTGTTGTTGTGTGAAAAAATTGAGGGGAACGATTATTCAAATGGAAAAACAACAAAAAAAAAGAAATTTTAATTTTTCCTTTGGGTTCTTCTTTTTAATTCTTAATTTGACCTCTTAGTGTTTTAATCAAATCAAAATCAAACCAGTTGCTGTTACTGTGTTGTATGAATTGAATTGCAAATTGAATGTTATAAAATACAAATAAATAAATAGGAGCTATCTGACTTTGTCGTGTAGTTCTTTGTCTTTCCTTTAGTTATAGACTTTGAAGACGATTTAACGAAGTCAATTGGGGAATATATATTCTGTTGGGTGGATGAAAGATAAAAGAGGAGTAAAACAATTACATGAGCAAAAGTAGTTGATGAAAATATGGGGAAATTTACAATGTATTTATACTTGTAGTACCAACAGAAGTAGTAGCAGCAGTGACAGTGGTTAGCTTCGAGAAGTTGGTTGCTTTCATCCTGTCCTTATTGTTGTTCTTGTTCTTGTGTTGTGTTATTGTGGTTTGTTGTTGTGTAATAAAAAGTTGCGTGTGTCGTTTACCAAAACTAAAATTTAATAGCCGGAGAAAAAAAAAGAAATTGTCTCCTTTTTAGATTTTACTTTTTAATTTTTGTTGTGTATAAATTTAAAACACCGACAGAAAAAGAAGAACAAAAACGTGTTGCAAAAAAGTTTTGGGGATTCTAAAACTTCCCTCCAAAGAATAATAAACATACTACACTCTACACCTTACAGTACGTGGTGTGTGTGTGTGTGTGTGTGTGTGTGCATAGCACATACAAGACACAGCAATACCTAAAATTCAACTATACAACTTGTTTAAGAGAGATTTCACATATTTATGCCATTTATTAGTAGTTTGTATATTGTCATATTGTGATTATTGATCTCTACAGTCTTACTCCAGACTATTGTCATCGATTGTATCGTAGGCAATTGGTTGACATACACTTCAAATCAAATCACAACCCCACAAGCACGCAATATAGGAACAAGCAATTCTGAAACAATACACTGTGGGTGAATAATGCATTATGTTCCTTTGTTGTTTGGTTTTTGTATACTTTTGACCTCGTACCCCAGAAGGACATCCCCGGAGACAAACCTAACACATAGGCAGTATATACGTAATAATACATCTATCTCTCTATCAATCTTCTTAGTTATAGTTATAGTTCCAGACTCGTGATAATATTCTACTAATACAGACATACTATACATACATACAGTACTGCATATAAAATTTGATAGAATTTCAATGTTACACAAATACAATGTATACCTACATATTAAACCATATATATGCGGAAGCTTTTTAACCGTTTCTATAAAGTACACAAAACAGAATCATTAATTGAGTACAAGTACACTACCCATATCCCAACAAACACAGCACAGTCACCAACACAACACAACAGCACACAAGCAGAATAAGCCTTCTTCTTTGTACCCTTCTTTTAAAAACCTCTGATTCGTTGTGTTGTGATGTCGCTGAAATAATTGGACAACTAGTAAACAATTCTTAATCAAATCTTTTATAGCTCCTCATTTTCTCTATGAGTGGACCAACAAAAAATGGAATTATTATCAACAAAAAAGAGGACCCCTTTTAGTATTGTTGATAATAATAATAATAATAATATCTTTCTCTAAATTTGCCACTATGAAGAACTAAGAAGAAGAAGAATGTGACTTTTGCAAAAGAGTAGGGGAGTAATCATCCAATAAAATGCAAGGTATGATGCATTAACTCTTCCACTGTTTTGTCTTCTTGTTGTTTGATAAATTTTGTAACACAACAGGATATGCATGTAAAACTACAGTAGCAGTCGTAGTCGTAGTAGTAGTAACAGTTGTGAGTGGGTAAGTTACTAAGGTTCAAAGGAAGGACCCGGTTAAGAATTTTTCTTTTGCTATTTGTGTGCTTTGATTTGTGTTCGTTACGGTATACCCCGGATATCCATAAATACGCTGTATATACATATTTTGTGTATTGTCCGGAGTTTTCTATCAGTTTATTGTGAAGTTAACAGCAACAACCCACTATACATATGTACAATTACGACACAAGCATTCTACATACAAAGCATACATAAAAATAGGTAACATACGTATATATATATATGTCAGGAGACTATTACCGTTTTTACCAACCGATTGTCATCAGATTTTACCAACAAGACCCTCAAAAACATAACCTAAAAAAGAAGGGAATATAAACAGGTGATGGATATACACCACATCAGAAAAATATTCAAAAAAAAAAGGAGAAACAAAAGGCATTGTTCTTACAGATATCAGTCCATCTGTAGACTTGTATTCTTGTCTTATGACCTTATTCTTCTCTTTGATTTGACGATTGTCTTTCTTAGTTTTTGACTTCTGCTCAATAATTTGCTTTCTTTGTTATGCATGGCCTCTTAAAATATAATAAAATAAAAATTAATTTTATGAAAACTCCGAAAAGAATTTAATTTATTTTTATTTTGCGCTTATTGTGTTTACTTGTTAATTTGATACAGACTAACTGAAAGTATTAAAAGTGTACCAACCAATACTTTATACAAATTACTTAGCAGTATTAAGATGGTGTTACTATTTCCCTTTTCATTGGTGCCTATTTTAAACCAACGGGTTTAAAAATTACTTTTTATTTTAACTCTCCTGTGAGCTACATATTGCATTGCATTCTATTAACCCTAAAACTTTAGAAACTTTAGTTTCAAAACATTTTTTAGACTCAATCAACGGCTTTAAAAGTTAAAGCACACAAGAGAAGGAAACTAAAAAGTTATCCGCTCTCTGTGGTTACAGTAACTGTTATATTTTGGTTGGTTCGGCTCGGTTGTAAAGTGACCTCTTTTGTTGTTGTTCTTACTGCTACTTTGATGAAACCATTTTGTAACCGCATGCCAAGAAGAATCAAAGATTATTTTATAACACCACCGCCAATAATTGAGAGGATGTTGCCGATCTGGTCTATTGCTTTTGTTTCTTTAAAACTCCGAAACCGCTGCCTTTTTTCACAATAATCAAAACCCCACAACTAACTACTCCACAAAAAAACCACACCCAATACCATCACCATATTGTTTAAGACATACAATTTGTGATTCGATATATGTATGCTGGAGCATGGAGGCAGTGTCGTTAAAAAGCTCTGAATGTTACAAAATTGATGTAGTTTGTTAATTACGTCAAATGGTAGTGTAATATTAACAAATTGTGTTCTTTTTGTAACTCCCCGTGGATATTTAGTTGATACAAAATGGCAAATGCACTAAGTGTTAATTTTTTAGTAAGGAAATGGAATATCCACGGCAAATGGTTAAAAAATGTAATGAAAGTGAGAATGTATATTGTTCTATTCTTAACAATAGAAAAGAAATCAGAAAACTCCGAAGAAGAAATCTGGGGAAGAAAGTCAAAGAGAGACAGGGAAAGGTGGCAGTGTTTGTGTGAATAATAGGAGTAGCTCTGGACCAATACATATACAGCGTACATTTCTTAAGTCTTTTTGACCAAAAGGAGCTAAAATGGTAAGTTACTAAATACGCTTCCAAAAAAAAACACCATCTTCCAATTGAAAATCAGTAAAAAAGGAATACAAAGTCAAAGAAGACAGACAGAGAAACTGTCTCCGTTAATACGTTCAAGCGAAATGTTTATTAAAGTCAACTTTTCCAACACTACTCAATATCAAAGGTTTCTCTGTCCCCCGCCTTACAAATCAGTAAACTCATCATAGGTTGATCTCCAGTTTTGGAAAAACCCAGTGAAAAATTTGGTTCCTAATCCAACATCTTTTGACCCTAAAGTAGCTCTAATTGAATGCATCGACAATTGCGGAATTCCAAGATCAATTGTTCTTACACCAGTTGCTGAAGAAATGGCTGGTCCAATCGAACTACCATTTCGAGTATCATTTCTCACTTGGAAATATTGCAAAAGATCTTTATTCTCTTTGGCCAAACTCTCAACAAATGCCAATCCAACGGAATCAGTAGCGAAATGTCCATTGGCATCAATGGCAATAGAAACACCTTTGTTGGGGACAACTTCATGTTTATCCAAATAAACTTCTTTAAAGTTTGGATTCAACAAATGGTTGACATCTGCCGATAAGATGATTGAGTTGGCGTAAATCAACCTAACTTTATCTTGAACACTAAGACCATCAGGATTGTACTTATCACTGGCAACAACTCTCTCCACTATCAGTTCAAGAATACCCCCTCTGGCACCTGCTCTAGTCAAACTGCCCACCTCTTCGTTGTCATACAAGGCAACAATGGAAAAAGTGTCATCTTTAAGCCCTTTTGCAGTCGTCGCATTCACCAATGCGTTCAAAGCAGCAAAAGAACAGAGCCTGTCGTCGACTCTAGGAGCGAAGATAAACTCATTGTTCAAACCACCTTTGGTTCCCTTTTGAACATCAAACAATTGCAAATCCCATTGGCTGATTGACTCAACACTGACATTTGCTTTTTTAGCAATATATCTCAACAATTTCAAGGAATGCTTGCCGTACAATGGAGCCTTCTTTTCCGCCTCGGTAGGCTCAGGATCCTCTCCTTGAGAAAACCCAATCACAGGAACCGCTTTTGTTTCAGTATTGAATGGACCAATAGCAGGCTCACCGAAGTGTGGTGCCAATGTAGGAATATGAGCAATAGGGTGGGGTGTTGAATCAACCAAATGTTGAACAACTTTACCCTTGGAGTCCTTGACCAACAATCTACCTCCAATACCCAAGTCCCTGTCCCACCAGAGATTACCCAATGTACCAGCATAAGGAGCAATGCCAAGTAATTCATATCCATCAACTTTGTCCTTTTTCGAAACTGGCTTTAAAACAGTGGTGAGTGAATCAATGTGAGATCCAATAGCACCGAAACCTTTGCTTGGTTCCCAATCCTTACCAACGACGAAAGCAACAATTGACGAACCATTTCTAGTGGTAAAGTATTTACCGGGTTTGATGTCACTCCATGAGTCTTGTTCTGATAAATACTCAAATCCGGCATGTTTCAATTGTTGTTTAAAGTGGTCAACAACATGATAAATGGTAGGGTTCTTGTAGTTAAACTCAATGTACTTCTCTGCCAATTTATCAAAATATTCGTCGTTGTAGTTTGACGTAATTTGGCCTACTCCATCATTGTCGGTGGCCTGAGATTGATTCAATTGCTGTTGTTGTTGTTGTTGTTGTTGTTGTTGTTGTTGTTGTTGTTGTTGTTGTTGTTGTTGTTGCTTACTCAAAGACTCGGTTATACCAGCAAGTATATCATCAATCGAAAGGTTAGACATGAGTTGATTGTAAATACAGTATGGTAAAAAAGAAAGTAAAGTAAAGCGAAGTGAAATTGAAGTGAAATTGAAGTAAAATTGAAATTGTTGGGATTTTCAAATGTACGGCACCAAATGTTTCGTTCGTTTCGTTCTTGGTAGCCAACCAGCTGTGGCGTTCATTCAGTTTACACAATGGCAAAAAAGGAATAGGACAATGGAAGGAGCTACCGAATAGCGGAATTTCACACCCCACAAATAGAAATAAGAACACCTTTACTTCATTAGCTAACACTAATTACTCACTATTTACCTATTCATCCTTGCTTTGAACCTACTGACTCTGACTGGGTTTCCTTCTTCGTCTGTCGGCTCAAACCCTTGTTCTTCATGCTTTGCACTTTGTCTCGCAAGCATCTTTTCTCTCATTTTATAATAACTCTCACTCAATTCTTGATTGGTAATTTCATTCTCATTTAAATCTAGGTTTGAGTCATCTTCTTCAATATCGTGCTCTTCTATATCATTTATCATCGCATCATTTTCGTCATCTTCATCAATGTCCTTACTTTCCTCAAAGTCCATGCCCACTTCATTTGATTTCTTGTCGTACACTTCACCGATTGGGGTTTCCAGTTTTATCCCGTCTCTACCATTCGATTCAATGATTTTATTTAGCGCTTCAAAGTCTTTCAACTCCTCAACCAATGGACCATCTATGTCTATATCATCATCGTACATTCCCATCAGATATGCTTTCGCCATGGTATCCATGTCTTGCACATTATTGTAGTCGAATTGGGTGTCAGTTGCCTTTGTGCTCTTGCTCAGATTAATGTCCTTTTCTAGAGCATGGCCGCTACTCCGCGATGAGCTCACGTCGCTTTCACTCTGAGCAAGGGTTTCGACAGTACCTGCTTCATTGAAAGACAACTTATTTCGCAGAGCTTTAAACTTTGATGCTGGCTTTGGCTTTCTTTCTAAGATGTCAGAAGTGGCCGAGGTATGGGGTTTGCTAGACTCAGGGCTGCTCAACAGATCAGCATCTCTTTCCATTATCGTGTCTTCGACAATCGCTTCATTTGGGTGATCATCAACATCTCTTTCCACAATAGTGTCCTCCACTATATTATCAGTACTAGAAATTGAAGCATCACTATTGCCATTTGAATAAACGTTTCTTCTATTTTGTTTGAATAATGAACTCTTCTTGAAGGGTTCCGGGTTTTTCAAGCTGTCACTAATATTCTCAACCTTTTTGATATCCAAATTATTAGCAAATCGTACCGACTTCTGTTTCTTCTTTCCATCTGCTGCTTCTACAGCTGCTTTCTCTAGTTCCGAAACGTCCAATCCATGCTTGTGACTGTTTTTGGTCATTTTTTCTTGTTCTCTTAGTTCAGCAATCTGGTTCCAAAACAAACTAGTGGACTTTTCGTCGCCTAGCTTTCCACCGAGCCATGTAGCATTTGGTTCGGTTCCGTAGAGGAGGGCATCAGCTCTATCGTCATCATCATCATCATCAACATCATCATCATCATCTTCTTCTTCAAAATCATAGTCCCAATCTTCATTATCAGCGTACTTGTTATCCTCATCTTCCTCGTTGTCAAATTCATCAGCTAATAATTCCAACTCAAGCAAATTGTCTGTATCTATATTACCCCTTCCTTTATCACCACCACCAGCTACTCCTGGTGTCGCCTCTCTTTCAGAGTCTGGCACTTCTTCTCCTCTTTCTTCATCATCTTCATTGTAATCATTAAAAGCTTGAACACATATCTTCTTCAAGTCAAACTTCTCCTCGGGGTTTATTTTCAACTCGTCAATTTTATTCAAAAGCTCATCCTGGTTAAGGTGATGCTTCAAACGATTTTTGTCAGGCATAAGCTCCATATCCGAAAATAGCTGCATAAGTTCATCATTTTGATCTTTGTCCTTCGTCTTCTCTGGTGACGACTTTTTCACCTTTGGTGCTTTTTCAGTTTGTTTCTCAATCTTGACAGGAGCATTATTTATCTTTGAGCTGATGATATTTCCATCTTCATCGACTTCTTCCTGTATATCCATAAACGGGAGTCCTTCCTCATTTAATTTCTCCTTCTGATCTATATTATTAACCAGTTGTAACTTTCCCAACTGGGTCAAATTGTCCTTTGTCGTTTGTGCTTCCTTTATCTTGAGGTCAAACTGATCAATCAAGTTTTTTAGTCTATCTATTTTTTCATCACTATATTGACCCCCAGTTGCATCCTCATTCTCACCATCGCCTATTTCTTCTATTTTTGGCACTTTTTGCTTAAATGCAATACTTAGCTCCCTGCTGAGATGTAACCTTTTTCTTTGTAAATTCAAAATAGTCAAGTTGATTTGTTTGATTAATTCATTTATTTCTGTTTTATCGTCAGCTTCACCCGATCCTTTTCCGACTGTGGTTGACATCTTGAGGTAATGTGAGTGTGTCACCCCTATGTTGTGTTAATCCTGGTAACTGATAACAAGGCATCATTTTTTCCATCTCAATCGGAGCGATGAAAGCACAAAATCATTACTTTACAGAGCAAAGCTATGTACATTGCGCAAATAAACATTTTCGATACTCCCTCTATACAGCGTATATAATCTTTCAATTACCACCAGTATCTACTCACTTACTCATTGCACCTTCACCTCCTCGCTTCTCCTCCCAATCGCGCAAAGCAGCTTCCCATTCTGCGTCCTCAGACGGAACCTCCGGTTCATCAACATTCATTGCCTCAGTTGGAGCATTCCTCTCTTCCACATCATACTTTTCTTTCTCGTCCACCCATCGCTCGTGGATATCCACGTCTTGATGGCCAGCGGATCCACCTTGCCTGACTGCTTCACTCCAAATAGTATCGCCTCCAATCTCACTACCAAAGCTATATCCATTGGCTTTATCTATAATGCTTAGCAAATTTATCATACTTTGCTTATTCTCAACAAAGAGGACTTCAAATGCCACCAAGTGATACTCTTCTACCAATTCGCCAATGAGCTCAGTTAACCGTACATACTTTTTACCCAATATCGAATTAGACTCTTTTTCCAAATGGGGAGTCAAGTAATGCAAATCTTGAACTTCTGTATAGTAGTCCAATCTGAAGGGTAAGGGTCCATATCCCTTTAGCAAATCAATTTTGCTGATGACATTCACCTGAGGGAGTTCCAACTGCAACATTGATCGTAGACTCAATAATAAAATTGAAATATACTGCGACGGACTCGTCAAATAAATAGAATCAACCAACGACACAACACATAGTCTGATTTTAGTCTCCTTTGTCAAAGTGTTGAATACCTTGTGTAAGGCACTATGGTGTGTGAATAGTTCAATCTGTCCAGGGCAATCGAATAAAAGATAGCTTCTTTCATCAATGAGTTTCCTGACTTTTTGAAGGAATAGATCGAGCCCATTAGCAATCAACAGCTCCATTGCAAACATTAATCCACCATTGGGACCTAAGTTAAGCTCATTCATGACATCTTCTAGTTCGATATAGTCTCGAATGTCTAGATCACACGGATATGGGAGTCTGTCATTTGCTGGATCTAAGTTTATAATGCTCAGCTTTCTTCCTATAGCTGATAGAAATTGGTACATTCCGTGGCAGTACGTGGACTTTCCTGATCCTGGTGGACCTATTACAACCTGTCCGTACATAGTAATCGATTCCTCTTGAGTGAGTTTTGTCGGTGTGTGCCTTGAACAATACCAAATCTCTCTCTTCTTTTATTACAACTGGAAAATGGCATTTCGCACAAGAGAAGGAAATGTATTACGTAAGATCCAACTTCTGTTTGTAAGTGTTGCCTACATACATTACATAAGCAAATACAGGTTCCTTTTTTGAAGGCGAAACATTTCCAAAACCCACAGCGAAAAATCCAAAGCACAACTTTGTTCTACAACGCCCTATAACTCCCATACCATCAATAAAAAACACTAAACAAAGAATGTCTGTGGCAACATCAAGTACTAATGAATTGAACTTTTTAAAGAAAACAGTTACGGTTTCGCCATTGGTTTTGTTATCTGTCGTTGATCATTTCAACAGAGTAGCCAAGGACAGTAAAAAGAGAGTTGTTGGTGTGATATTGGGAGACAATTCAACAGATACCATCAAAGTCACCAACTCCTATGCCATACCATTTGAGGAAGATGAGAAGAATCCAGGGGTTTGGTTTTTGGATCACAATTATATCGACTCCATGGGCGAAATGTTTAAAAAGATTAATGCAAAAGAAAAGTTGATTGGATGGTATCATTCAGGTCCCAAGTTGAGAGCATCAGATTTGAAGATTAATGATCTTTTTAGAAGGTACACGCCTAATCCGTTACTTTTGATTGTTGATGTTCACTCAAAGGGAGTGGGAATTCCAACCGATGCCTATTTTGCCGTTGATGATATCAAGAACGATGGGTCAGCAGCTGAGAAAACGTTTGTCCACGTTCCATCTTTGATCGAAGCAGAAGAGGCCGAGGAGATCGGTGTCGAACATTTGTTGAGAGACATCAGAGACCAAGCTGCGGGAAATTTGTCATTGAGAGTGACGCAAACATACCAATCGTTGTTGGGATTGCACCAAAAATTGAGAGACATTGCAACTTATTTGGAAAAAGTATACAACAAGAACTTGCCAATCAACCATACAATTTTGGGAAAACTCCAGAATGTCTTTAACTTACTACCTAACTTGGTACAACCGGCAGGAAGCTCACAAACCGGTGTAGATGCTGCTACCGGAAGTGAGTTGGCCACTGCATTCACTGTCAAGACCAATGATGAACTTATGATTATATACATTAGTACATTGGTTAGAGCTATCATTGCATTCCATGATTTGATTGAGAACAAATTGGAGAACAAGAAGTTGAATGAGAAGAAAGCACTAGAAGCAGAGTCGTTAGTCGAGGATAAAAGTGCAATCACCGCGGAGTAAATAGGAAGTATTTTGTATATCAATCTAATGCGAATATAACCCCTAGAGTATTGTAGTGTAGGACATGTGTACATAAGCGATAACAGCGATGAAATCAAACCAAAGGTGAAATTAAAGGAAAAAAAAAAAACGAAAAAAAACGAAAGAAAAGAAAAGTTAATCTGCTTTTCATGGCCTGTAACCAATTATACTAAGTCAAAGGAAAAGTAGGTTTTGTTGTGTTAATGACATATCAGATATAACAAGAAAAAAGGATTATCATGAGTAACAAATTGCTTCCTATTTCCAGGTTGCACACGGTCAACAACTTCAATTTCTTCTTCCACAATACCAAACGAAGCTTCATCAAAAGCCAGAATTTTATCAACAATCAATTTTTAACTCGAAAAGTGAAACTACCTCATGTTCCTACCAAGAATACCTCATATGCAAAACTTCATAATAAGTCACTTTTAAACGAGTCCAAAGGTTCAGGATCGGCATCTGTTTTAAACGTGGCCTCAAAAGTCCTTACTTGTCAAGAACCAGAAGCGAAGCTGTCTCAAAGCTTGTCCTCGGAGGATGGATCTGCCAACAACATTCCATTTAAAGTATCGCCTAAAACACCAAGAGTTACCAAAGTTGAGCCTGTGTCTATTCTCGGATCCAGAACTGGCTTGAGGGATGAGCTCAGAGCATATGTTAAACTCACGAAACCTAATTTGACAGTGTTGGTAACCTTAAGTTGTATCTGCTCCTACGCCATCTCACCATTAAGTGTCTCCTTCTTTGAACTAATATTTTTGACAGCAGGGACAGCTCTATGCTCGGGGGCCGCAAATGCGATTAATATGGGACGAGAGCCGGATTTCGATAAACAAATGCCTAGAACCATGGGCCGCCCAGTAGTGAGAGGGTTGATTACTCCACAACAAGCTTATAACTTTGCCGGGTTGATAGGAACCACGGGTGTAGCCATGCTTTGGTATGGCGTCAATCCCGTTGTGGCCTCATTGGGTCTATTCAATATTGTGTTGTATGCTTGGATATACACCTCGATGAAGAGGAAATCTATAATCAACACATGGGTCGGTGCTATTGTTGGTGCTATACCTCCATTGATGGGCTGGGCTGCATCATCCTCGTTGGTGCATCCAGGTGCATGGTGTTTAGCTGGTTTACTTTATGCATGGCAATTTCCTCATTTCAACGCCTTGTCTCATGGAGTAGCACAGCAGTATAAACAAGCAGGGTATGTAATGACGGCTGCTGAAAATCCAAAGCTAAATGCAAGGGTAGCATTGCGTTATTCTATATTAATGTTTCCGCTCTGTTTTGGATTGAGTTATTTTGGTATAACTGACTGGGTTTTCCCATTCGATTCAGCCATTGCCAACGCATGGCAAGCGTACTTGGCGTTCAAGTTTTGGCAACAGCAACAGCGAAACTACAGTAATCCTAAAGGACCCACTACAGAGGGAATAGCATTGGCTGGTATCCATGCAAAGAAACTATTCTGGTGCTCAGTATGGCACCTTCCTGCAGTGTTAATATTAGCAATGTTGCATAAGAAAGATCAATGGGACAGACTATATAATTATTTATTCTAGATGTAATGTACATAGTTGAAATATCTTGTATAGGAAGATATATATTGTCACCTTTATGATGATATGTTGGTCTCTTTTTAACTATGACGCGCGATAAATTTCATAAAATCAACCAACAGAGAACTGGCAAAACAAAAAACAATTTTCCACCCTTTAAGCTGGCAGCCAAAAGTCACGTCACTACGCACCTAAGAGTCAATCTTTATGGAATAAACACAATTGATATTTAGCTAACTGATTTTAAGAAAAGATACAAAAACATGTTCAAAACACCAACTAGGAATAAGAAATATGAGCAGCTGGTAGACAAGACTTTGGCACTATTTGAATCACTCGAGGAATGGGCCGACTATATTGCATTTTTGTCGAAACTTCAAAAAGTTTTACAATCATTTGTTGACTCTGACGAAGGAGAATCATTCTTTGTTCCCAATACAAAGGAAGTGTCTTACCGACTAGCTTTATGTTTGTCCCCCACATTACCAAATGGAGTACATCAAAAGACATTGAACATATACGAATTCATATTCGAAAATCTCAGCAAGTCGCAATTGAATTCGGATGTGAGCCTTTGGCTACCTGGTATTTTGCCACTTTTCTCATACTCTTCAATACAGATCAAGCCTCAACAAATCAAGATCTTGAAAACGTTGATTGTCGACAAATTGAGTCGAGAAACTTTGAGGAACTTGATCAAGCCATTGGTTCTTTGGTTTTTATCGGGAATGGAAGATACCAACTCAGAAGTGTTCAATGACGTTCACTCACTAATGACTTCTTTTAAATCCAAACTCAATGATGATTCTCAATTTTGGCATTGTATTTTCCTTTGCATTATAAACACACCCGAGAGGAGAATGGGGGCATTGCATTGGTGCGAAAGGAATTTGCCAGAGTTTACCAATACAAAAGATGAAAGGGGCAATCCACTTTTTTCACAAGAAGCTCAGCTTTGCATGAAGCCAGAGGCAGGACTCTTGGTGAGAGCCTTTGCAATTGTGATTGGATCATCTTCTCTGTCTGACATTTTGGTTACCAGAGGATTCTTTGATTTGCTTTTATCTCGAGTACCGTTGGACAGTGCAATTTTTGATAACAAGGTTACATCAAAAGATAAAGATTTGTTGATTATGTCATGTTGCAAGATAACATTAAACAAAGACGTGAGCTTGAATAGAAGAGTCTTGAATTACTTTTTGGGTCCAGATGTTGAAAGTGATAGTGAATCTAGAAGAAAATACTTTAAGCAGAACGCCAAAGAGTCATTGAGCAGAGGACTTATCAAAATGGGGACATCCGAGTCCAAGAAAGATCAATTAGAAGCATTGAGGATGTCTTTCTATCTAATAATGGACAAATGGGAAATAAATTTTGAACTAACTCGTGAACTATTCTCCCCATTTCTTTACCACTGTTATGAGAAGCGTAGCGACGAAGAGGTGATGAAAATAGCAATGAGCTTCTTTGATGAAACCGAATCTTGTTACATTTGGAACGAAGTTTTCAAGCTTATTGTTTTGAATGAAAAGTCCAATTATGATATAATTGAATTCATACTCAAGCATTTCCATCTCAACGAAGACGAAAATGTAACTACTTTTTCACCGTTGGCATTGTCGTGTCTCCTATCTGGTCTTGAGATAAACAGTCAGAAACTCGAACTTATTGAGATTATGTTTGGGTATATACAGAAGGAGAATTTGGGTGACGTTAGCAAAGAATCTGATTTATCTAGCTCTCAATTATTGGAAACAGTTATTAAGTGGACGGAACAAGAAACGAGCCAGGACCTGAAAACCCTGCCATATCATTTTGGCGAATTGTTACCATACATACTCAAGCAATTGGAAACCCTCTATCTCAAGAATTCTTCAAATTTGGTCTGGGGTTCAAGAGTCGGCAACCTTTTGATTCGGTTATTTGATGCCATTGAATCCATTGATGAGAAACATGCTGTGTCGGAGAAATTATTAACAAACTGGTCAAGAGATGCACCTGCCAAGCCTGGCAGTGAAGATATTTCCATTGCATTGACAAGAGTAAATTTGCTTAATCATTTATCCAAATTCATCAGTGTAGTGCAAAAGCAAAAATGCTTGAAATACATATTAACCAGCCTATGGCAAGCAGTGATATCTTCCAACCCTGCCAATCACCAAGTTGAAGCAGTCAAGAGCATATTTGAGTTGAAGTTTACATTCTCCATGAATAAGATTGAGGCTGGCATTTTGGAATTGTTTTTGAAATTAACAATTGACAAACAAATCGCTGCATTCGAAACATTGTATATTCATACAATTGGTATTAACGAGGCGGAACATGTCTTGAGCCGTCAATTTCAACTAATTTTGGATAAATCGGGTGGCAATGAAAGACAACATTATGAAGCTGTATTGGATTTAATCAATCGAGTTATAAGCAATAATAACCCACAAAGATTACTCAATTTGTGCTTTAACCCATTAACAAAGTTTGGATTCATGGAAAATGGTCATTTTAAGCTTGAGTGCAGTGATTATTGGGATCAATATGCTTATGATTTGAGAAAAATTGATACATTGTTTGATTTTGATCTGAAGAACATTAGGCACCACATTAGCAGTGACCAATTTGTTGTGCCAGATGGAGAAAATGAGCATGAATACAACTTGCAAATATCATACAAGAGGTATTTGCTCTTGCTCTTGAAGGAAAACCTAAGACTAATATCTTTACCAGATCCATTAGGATTTGGTAAAGATGAGTACCGTGTCATTGCTGATTTAAGCTTGAACATTTATATTAAGCTAATAACTGGAAATGAGAAGACATTTGAAACTTTGTTTGACGAATTGCTTACTGACGCGTTCAATCATATAAACGCTGAAGATGAGAACATTGTATCCGAGTCAACCACTGGGAATTTCTTGCAATGCATCTTCCATTTCCTTGAGCGTGCATCTGGATCAAATACCAAGTTAAATTTGTTACATGTTCATGAGCAGGACAAGGGTCCAGTGTTGGTGAACTTGATTCAATCAGGGGTAGCAAAATGTCAGTCACCAATTCTACTTGAAAAATACATGACCTTATTAATCAAATCAGCTTATCTTTTTGGTGATTCGATTTTCAGCATCTTGCTCACTTTAACTGAAACCATCGTTTTGAAAATCAATTCGTTATTCAATCGCTTCCTCAACTGGGATGATTTTGCAGCAAATGAAAACTTTGATGAGTCAATGATTATCCTTTTTGATGGGTTGGAGAATTTCCTAACCGTTTGTCATAGTTATCTAATGCACTCAAATGCTAAAATCCAAATCGAGTCACAAATGAATAGAGAGTCGGCGAGTAATGGATTTTTAAACAGTGTAATGCTGGGAGTCTTCCAAATAGAATCACCTTCAACCAAAGATACTGAACAAAATAAGCATTATTCAACTCTTATCGCTTTTCATGATGCCACAAAAGTCAGCTTTAAAATATGGGATTGGGCTGATTCTAAAACAAACATCCCCGAAAATGTCACCACTTACTCGGATCGTTCATTGACTTTTGTCTCCCATAATCTTAAATTTAGAACCAAGACATTTTTGGACCGATTGATTGAATTGGAAAGACAGGAAATTGTCAATACCTTGATCACTTCCCATATTCAGTTATCCAGTGTGTTGAAGGTTTTAAATATCTTGGATAACGGCAGATCACAAGTGACATTGCCTTATTTGTTCAATTATATCAAGATGAAATTCCACCCTCAGTCATTTTTGGATACAAACAAGACTTATGTTGAATCAAATGTGGATACAAACGAATTGTCCAATTTTATAGTGGCGTTCTACGACTTTATGGATTCCGATACAATGCTGGATATTTGGAATCAAACATTGGAATTTTGTGAGATTGTTGGCTCGCAAATAACCCAATTTGAAGCTATTGTACCGGCAGTTTTACAAATCTGTAAAGTTATGTCTATCAAGACGAACAATATTAGAAACAAAGATTTGAAAAACAAGAAGCTGTTATCCGAGAGCTTTACTCGACTTTTAACCCAATACATCAATTATAATTCGTTTACAAAACCGAAATCAGGCGGTGCTGACGATGGTGTGGTATATGATCAACAATTTGTTGATGCATTATGCGACTTGATCCCAGTTTTGGATGAAATCTACCATGATTCGGAAAAGACAAGTCAAGCTGTTGGGCTCATCATTAACAATGTCATTTCAACCCAGAATAAGAGAAAGAATTTCCAGTTAAACGACGCGTCCTTACACTTGTTGCAGTTGTTGGGACAAAATTACCCTACAAGAATTTGGAAATCTTCGGTGGCAGACTTATTCAACGATGCAAAGTTCTTCACCACCAATACAGCCTCTAATTGGAAATGGATGGAGATTGTTCAAACTTGGATTGAGAATGATAAAGACAAATTGGATGACAAGATTAACAAACTTGCACCGTCATCAACAAACTCCCCCGCGGGGACATTATTCAACTGGAATGAAGAATCTGAAATTGAGACTAAAATTAATATATTGAAACAGTTGACATACATCATTCTAGTTCAACCTCATGATTACTTTGCGAACAAGATAAATCAAATTTTTGACAAGGTGAATCAGTTGCTAAGTCTAAACACGTGTCCCACTCTGATTCGAATTGAAATTAGTACTTTATTACGAGCCATTGTTTTGAAAGTCAGCGATATTCATCTTACTTCTCATTGGGCATTGATAATTTATGAATTGCAACAGGTTTTTGCCTTGATTTCTCAGCCACCAAAATCACCAAAGGAACTAACATCGATACCTTCAGATGCATTGCAGTTGTTACTATTTGCATCAAAATTGCTTGACGAATTGTTAATTATCAACCCTGATGGATTCAATTTGAATTCGTGGTTGTTTATCAGCATTGATTCTGAAAATAAATCCACCCAATCTAATCTGATTATTGATTGTATTTCCAATAATAATGATTTTACTTTTTTGAAAAACGATGCAATTAAATTAAACCACGGAGGTTTACTGGATGAAACTAGTCTAAGTCCATTATTGGAAGGCGTGAGACAAATTTCTCTGATTACCCAATTGAGATTGTTTTTTGATTCATTAAGTATGATACACTACGAACGTACTTATAGTTTGAAACCAGTCAATTATAAAACATGTCGAGGTGATATTATTCATGACTTGATCACCATAACCAAAGGATAGAACTACAAGGAAACGATTTATATAAATCTGTGTTTATAAAACTACACCCTCTATAGAAGAAGAATAAAACGTATCAGACAATTAGTGCCCTTCTCTCCCACCTAATTCTTCAACTGCCTAAACTGACAATCAATAAGCTCCTTCATCTCTTTATAACTAACAATAATACATTCATTTTCATTCACCAATAGTAATTTCTCATCAACGCCACAATCCAATTTATTCAAGTTGACCAATACTTTATGCAAATTAATAGATCTATTTCCATTATGGTCAAAAAATTGAAATAAATTTTGTTGAAACAATTGAATAACTTTAATTTGATTGGCATCACTTAACGATAACTTGCTGACTTCATTTTCTCCTCCAGCAGCGCTGGTGTTGACCACAAAATTGATCTTGGTTAATAATCTAAACAAACGAGCATTTTCCAATTCTGAAGTTAATTGCAGTTCAAAATAATCAGCCGAGTTTTGTAAACTATTGACGGTGGAAAATGTCTTGTCAATTAAATAATCACTTATGAATTGTTTCAAATCAAAACCTGGTGCATCATCGTCCAAGGCAGATACTGTATTCAAAGCTTGTAGAGCCTTGATGAATTCCTCGCTTAAACTGGTTGAATTGGAAAGGTTTCTCACCAATACCTCTTCCTGGCTTGATCTTAGATTTACTGGAAGCAACAATGAACTTAAGTCTAACATAACTTTGCCTAAGTTCTTTATATCTTGGCGTTGAAGCTGTTCCACATCAAGCTTATCAGGTTTGCCGTAGTCCAAGACGTCACTAATCCCGCAACTGCTCAATCTTATCTTGTTGCCACCAGTATTTATAATTTTGCTGACTTCCATAGACGACCCAGCACTCAAACCTTTACCATGTATATCTTTCAATGCATTAACCAATTGAACAAGATATGACCACAAAAGATCTTCACTCACTGGTTCAACCCTCAACGATTTTTTATGGTGTTCCAACAAGGTTTTCAGGGTAGGGTAGTAGTCATAAACAAAACATAAAGCAGTGGAATTCTCAACTTTCGTTCCACTGATTGTACTAAATGCCAATGAGGTGAACACATCTTTAATTGCCACAATATTAGCATTTGCACCAAGCGTTTGCCACTGCTTAATACTCTTGAATGAAGCTTCATCAGCAACTTCATTACAAGGCTCGATTTTTCTCAACACATATAAATTTCCATCAGTATTTGAATAACATTTGAACAAGAGACTGTTTTTACCGGGCCAAATTTTACTTATAGCATCATAGGAGGTATCAATAGGGACTAACGAATGGTAGGAATTGACATGTTCCGGTAAATTCAGATGCTGGAGTGTTTGTAAACTTGCTTCATTTTTCCGATGTGAATTTTCTCGTAAATCATTGGGGATAAACATCTTTAATGCATTAGTCTCATAATCTTTTATTGGCACTGATAATCTTGGTGGTGGAGCAGGGGCATACAAGTGATACTGTAATGGGTACACTGGAGCTTGCTGATGTTGCTGATGTTGATGTTGATGTTGCGACTGTGGTGGAGGTGGTGGCATTTGTGATACAGCGGACCCACCTGGTCCAGGTCCAGGTCCAGGTCCTTGATGGTGAAGCTGATTTTGCAGCGATGGGAAAAAACTGGCCGACATAGATGGTGCTGAATTCATTAAAGACGATTGTGACATTTGTCCTTGGCTTGCCAGACCCATTGGACTAGGTGCATTCTGGAGATATGGATTAGACGAAGGTTGTTGCGGTTGTACGATCCCTCCTAACGATCTAGCACTTGAAGGTCCATTAGGTGTAAATCCCTGCAGTAGACTTGGAAAATGTTGAGGTTGTTGCGGTGGGTTCTGTTGAGATACTGGACTAGAAGTAGGACCCGATGCCATCACACCCTGAGAAAAGTCAAAGTTGGATGGAGTAAATGATGGCGTACTAACATTGAACTTTTTTGTACCAAAGGGAAGTCCTGACAGGTTATTCAATTGCTGTTGCAGTTGAGGGGGCATTTGATTCCCATCTTGATCATGAAAAGACGATTGTGACTCCGGTCGAAACACAGGTGCATCTTTGACAGTTGGAGATAAATTTGAAAATTTAGAAGTTATGTTGTTAATCAATTTATCATTGCCTCCACCACTTGGCTGAAACAATGGGGTTTCAATGTTGAATTTTCTTCTTCCACCACTTGATTCGATTGATTTGGTAGATGCAGTTGACGAAGGAGGAGGAACTTGAGGCTGCTGCTGCTGCTGTTGTTGTAATCGGGATCTTGAAGGTTTTGATTTCAATTGGTGATGCAGCGATTGCAACAGTGGTTGTTGCTGTTGCTGGCCCAACTGTGACTGTGGCAACTGTGAATCCAACTCTTGTCCCTGACCATGATTATTTCCACTTCCACCCGATTGCATTCCTGCCAGTTTATGATGACTAAAAGCGCATCCTTTATCCTGATACTTGCAATATCCATAAATCAAAACGTTTTTACAAAGAACATCCTTTGCTGTATCTAGATTAATATTCATGAATAAATCACTTTATACTTGCTGTTATTGTTGTTGATAGCAATTCCCAAAATCAATTTCGTATGACTGAGAAAGTGAAGATATTGTTGTTGTATATTAATCGTACGAGTGGTAGTTAAACTGTATTTGATTTGAGTTATCTTGATCTATTCGTCTAGTCTATGCCTTACCATCTATTGTATGTTTGGTTTTGTTGTTGGTTCGTTTCTAACATCGCGCACTGCCTGCAGGACAAACATTTTTTTTGACTTTTTACAAAGGAATGGTTTATATGCAGGGTCAAACATTAGTATAAAGTCATATCAAAGGAAACAGCTTCTCAAACCTCAATTGTCAGTATTAATAACTACCTATAAATTTCTTAACTCAATTATCACTTTGATGTAAAAAATTCTTCCCATATTCTTTCTGTCGGTGCGTTATGCATCAATTCAAAAGTTCGTTTTCCTTCACGCGAATTAGCGGTATTTGGGACTGGGGCTGCCCCAGTCCCTGAATAAGTAGGGTGCTGTACATTTTGAGAATTAGGAGGAGGTGTTGATTTCTCCAGAAAAGTGCTTGTTGCAGTCCCAGGGCCTCTACCGCTTCCTCCCTCACCGCCAATACCACCAACCACATTATGATTTTGATTTAATTCTTGGAAAAAAAAGTCCAATTCTTCGTCGTTCCATTCAGGATAATCGAATCTAGGTGTGAAATAAGGAGATGCATCCACGTTCAGGGTAGTGGTTGCACCTATGGGTTGTGCATTGCCATCCTGTTCGTACTCATACTGCAAGCTCGGACCGTATAGTGATTGCAGCTCTTGCTGTTGTTGCTGCTGCTGCCGAGGGTGCAGCTTTTGTTGTTGCTCAGTGTATGGTTGTTGACGTCGTCCACCATATAAAGGATTCGGGGCACTATCCCGAGCACCGACAGAACTGGGTGATACTTTGGTTAACGGATTCAAATGATCTAATTCATTGACCAAATGAAATAAATTGGAGTGGACATTACCGTTGTTTATCCGATACAATGATTCACGACTCACTTTAGTCTCACCCTTGTCTATCCCACCAGAATCGACAGAGCCAGGTGTGGTAGTAATGGCAGCAGCAGCTACACCGTTATCCTCATTCAGGTTTCCATTTTCACCTTGTTTTTTGTGGTTGTTCCCTGGTAAGAAGTGATTAACCAGCTCATTAGGGTATTTCAACTTCGCAATTACTAAAGTCAAATTATGGAAAATTTCACAACAATACTGAGCAGCATCACACTTATCAATTAAACTCGACAAGATTTTCAAACAATTGGAACAGCTCAACATGACGGTATTTATTGGATTCATGGCCCTGATTTCGTCGGAATTGTACAATGAATACAAATATGATGTGCCTGCCATAAATAAATTATGAACTGCTGCCCAAGTGTAATTCACAGATTTAGTAAGAAACAACTGGGTGTAACAATTGATTACTTCTTTTGCCGAAATGGAAACTTGTCGTATATCATCCACAGTCAAGCTGTAGTTGCGTGGTCCTAATCCATGAATATATAATAATGTATGATGATAATTTAAATGAAAAAAGATTGGATTAAAATCACAATTCATTTGTTGTGGAGTAGGTAGATTTTGGTACCAGTGAGTCAATCGCGACAAAATATCCATCTTCCAATGTGACAAGTCAGTGTATTGTCGCGGTATTTCACTACCAGTATAAAGTATCTTGGTGACTTCACTCTGCAATTTTCGTATGGTTATCATTGCCAACGATACCGTCTTGTAACTGATCACATCACCAATACTACTTTCATCGTTACTTAGTTTAGTGTAATCCATAATTGAATCACGTGGAACCATCTTCAGATCGTCCCAAATACTAGGCAACGGAGTATTTATACTTTCATCAGGTATACCAAATGGTCGATCGAGATAAAAACAAATTTGGCGATCAATAGAATAAGTGCACCAAAAGATTCGTCTTCTTTTATCTCGAGTATATCCATCGATGTTCAAGTTTTGTCTTGATTTTGTTTTTAATTCATTTTGTAAATCTAAATCAACACATACTCGTAAAGCTTCGCCCATTATATACCAGACTCCAGGGTTTGTCGGTCGCATAATGGAATAATAGGTGTAGAGTAATATCCCTTGCAATGCCATCAATTGATCGGCGTTGCGCTTAACATCATTATAATATTTCATGGCTGCTAATCGAAACGATTCAGAAATTTGTGAAGGGTATTTTAGGTGATGCACTGATGAGGCAATGGCAAATATCATATTGAGGAAAAAGAGTGGAATGTGAAACTGTCTTGGTGGGGTAATTCGATTGGATATTGCTCTAATATCAATGTTATTGGTATTATTCTTTTCGCTTTCTTTTGCAAGCAAGTGCTGAAACTGCAGTTTGTATTCGTCAAACCAGTAGGTGTTGTCTATGCCATTGTCATTGCTGCTTTTCCAAAAGGAATCATTGATTGATCCGTCATTACTAGCAAATTGAAACGCTTTCGGTTCCACAGGTCCATATATGGGTATGAAATAGTCACGAATAAATTCTTCTCGATGCATGATGGGGAACTGGGCATTACACTGATGAAAGAAGATTTGACAAAATTGTAATGCTGTGTTCTTGGGTGGTAGTACTGCTGCCAATTTGATTTCGTCGTTGGACATAGTGTCGTCTATGCTTCTGCCCTCCCCTGGTGCTGTTACTTGTGTAGGGGGTGTTGGCCCTACTGTGGCCATATAATGTTCATCACTACTCTTTTCGTGTCGTTTCTGAACCTTCACTGCCGTTGACATCAACTTCAGAAAAGTAATCTTATTAGTACCACTCCTATTCAGGCCCCCACCTATCCCTTTCTCTCTTTTTTCGACACGCTCCCTTGCTCTACCCCCATCGAAGGTATCCAATTCTTTATCTTCTTGGCGTATATCAACATTAGCGGGTGCTTCGTCTTCTTTGTACTCCCCGTCCCCATCCCCATTTGTATCTGCATTCAAATCAACTCCAAAATCGTCCAACTTCTTCTCCAACAACTTGACTCGCTCCTCCAAATGGACAATATAGCTCCTCGGTATCTCTCTTCCAGTAACTGGGTCCAACCCAATACACTCAACATTATGTTGGGCACACTTTCCACATTGAGGAAATTTCTGATCACATTTAATTTTCTTAGTTCGACATCGTTTACATGCTGATATTGCACGAGATATTTTTACTGCAGGACTAGTAGCAGTAGCTGTCGCAGTCGCAGTAGTAGGTGTGTCTGAATTAAGAGAAGTGATGGGTAGAACCGTTGTTGTTGTTTTTTGTTTCTTAGTGGAAGGTGGTGACATCAGAAGTCTGTAGCTTTTGCTTCGAGTGTTATAGTCGGTATATAGAATTAATTGTTGAATAATTAAGGATTGGATTTGAGTTGAGTCAAATTGTTATGGTTGTCTAATCTAAGATGTATCTATGATAATGTCTTAATCTTTTATATGGAGATAAATTAAAATTTTATTGTACTGCACACAATTTTGCGTTTTTTTCTTTCCCTCTCTTGGTTAATATGCAGGAGAAGAAGAAGAGGAAGAAAAACAGTCCTAATACAGAGTGACTTACTTTCAAATGAAAAGCATCTATGTTGGCATAATAATCACCTCTCTTTCTGAACACCTGATACGTACCTTTTACAAAAGCAATTGCTAAGATGAATTTGTTTAAAGCAACTCTTTTATAGGATTGAGTGGGATTTGGGATGCTTCCCTTGAGGAGTATGTGTTCAAAAACAAGAAAGAAGTACTCTCAAACCTGAATTTATCTTCCAAGAAGGTAGCCATGTTTTTGTAACATGCAAACTTTGAAAAAGTGATTGCAAGTTATTGACTTGGCTCTTCCTTCAATAAAGTAATTCTCTGTGCGTGTATTGCGGCACAAGAATTTCTCTGGTTGCAAAAATGTTTCCTTTGTTCTGCACATTGAATGCTCTCATAACAAGGTTACAACTTCGTTTACTAGGTGCATACAGTTCATATTGTGTGAGATACCCCTATGTGTGTGTGCTTACTACTGAGATCTACCAACTCTGCTAAGCCTACTATCGACGTTGGGATAAAGAAAAGTCCCAAATTACTTTTCATTTACTTTATTGTGTTATACAAACCTCCCCTCATTGTTACAAAAGTTGCAAAACTTTGATATTCTTCCTTACTTTACAAATCCTATAAATTCTCCCAACACAATTCAAAAAATTGCAAAAAACTACATACTTTCCTTTTTCCTACCAATCACCCGTTTACCCATATAGTTGATCTGATATTGATTTTCACCCACCATGCCAGAAAAGATTGTCAACTATATCCCAGCTGACAAGTTTTTTGAGTTATTCGAGTACAAGAAAGTTGACGTGCAAAAGGTTATCCCTGGATTTGTTCCTGGAGGTGGAGTTATGTTGATATCACCAGCATTCCAATCACCACCAGCCACCATTACCACCAATGAACAGGAGAACAAGTCCGTGACTTATTTTGATCAAGTGCAATTCAAGTCTAATGAACCACCACCACCACCTTCACTTACCCAATCAGTAGCAGCCAATAATGTATGCACTATCAAATTGGGAAGCTTTGATTCAACCAACTTTCAACATACCAATAAAAATTTTGTCACTACCAAATGTCTAAACAGCAACCAAGGTTCGGAGAGAAAGGAGGAGGAGGGTTTGAAGGATAATGATGATGTGACTGATGTCATTGACCTCTTGGAGAGTATTGAAGCCGATCTGGATGCTGCTTGTTTGAATGTTTCCCCAATTGTTTCCCTGTTCGTTTCCCCCCTGTTTGATGCTTGTTTGGATGCTGAGACTGATGAGTCGTTGAGTGATTCAGGATTGGATGAAGATATGTATCACGAGATGAGAAGAGAAGATTGCAGAAAGACTGCAAGATCGCATTGGTACAAGAAGGAAGAATCCAGACTCGAAAAATGCTACTTGTATGATAAATTTAGGACCATTGGGATTTCGCCTTTTGATAGAGTAGCAGACTCAGGTCATGTTTCTGTTGGTTTTGGTTGTTTAATTTCCGAAGAAGAAAAGTGGCAACTTGGCAACCAAAAATTTGCCACAGT